CCGTGCGAGCCGACGGAGAGCGGTGCGTCCGCGCGCACAGGGACGAACGCCTGCTCGCGGAGGGCCTGCGGAGGCGCCTGTTCGGGATCTCTGTCCTACTCCCTCTATTTTAAATCAGCTTTACAGAAGAAAGAGGCTGCTTGCCCTGTGATCCATGCCACTTCTACCCTCATCTGGTCATTCTGCACGCTGTCATACGGTCGTGAAACCCTCCCTAGAGCAGCACAGGAGGAGCTTTTCCAAGCAGCTCTCCTGAGCCGTCGCTCTGTGCTGAAGTGAAAGTTTTAATTTTTACTGCTATAAGATACCACAGTGACAGGAACCTTATAAATTAGATACACGGATGGAACCGAGTAGATTTGTTAGGAAAAGAGCAGAAGGTGAACTTGTGAGTAATTCTGAATAAGGAACAAAATTCAACTGTAATCTAATTACAGAAAATTCAGGAATGGCAATAAGTGGAAAATGTCAAACATTTGTCACACTAATTCTATCACGTATCAGTGGTTATAGACAGAGAGAAAAAGAACCATAGCATCGGCTCGGCAGCATTCACAGTAACACTGCTCTGTCTGCTGACACTGCTGCAGCTTTTAATAAAGATTCTTCCCAGATCTCGGCTGCCCTGATGGACAGTGACAGTTCCCAGCAAGATGGTTTAGCAGGATGAATCATCCTCTTATCAGATGCTGATAAATGAAAAGAGCTATATGCTTTTTAACTCTATTCTGCATCTAAGAAGAAAAATATTTCAAAGCCAGACTGATGTCACGCCTTCCAAATGCATCAAAGGGCAAGAGATAGAATAGGAAAGGAGCAGCATCTTGACAAGCACTGAAACAACCCTCGAAATCCACAGCTTCTCTGCTTCCTGGTGCTTCCCTGCTGCACTCAGATAGAGAAAAGCTACACTCCATGCTATGCTTTGATGCCACGCTGTTTAAAATTGCCTTGCAAAGCCCAATCTTTGGTGCAAATTCCAGGTTGGATATATCTCTGAATGCAGTTGTTTCAAACCCAAAGCTCTTTCCTGGCTTTTAGTGTCTTGGGTGATTACAAAAATAGCACAACCCATTTAGTCCTTCACGTCTGCTCAATAAAAGTCATTCCAGACCTGTTACACCTTTTATGCCGAAACATCTCCTGCTTCCCTACTTCTAACTGGTATTCAAAGTAGTGGACCCTGATAGTTCCTTTCTCTTACCGTTTGATTTTTTTTTAAAACTTTGTGTGTTTGAACACAATCCCTAGAGTCAGTCCTTTGAAAAGTAATCCATAAAAAAGCAAAGCACTTTTTAAATAGCAGAACAAAACACTCATAAAAGTTCATAAATGGCTTGCTATTTAAATCTCATAAAAGCAGCCTAGTTAATTACTTCGGTTTGAAAGTTTCCTGTAAATTGTGCACTGTACCCAAGGTCAGCAATAAAGGGAGAGGCTTTTCTGCAAATGCTACAAAAAACCCCACTGATTTCCTTGCACGCAAGATGTCTGGATAATTTGCCTCTAAAACAGTCGGCTTTAATTGCGTAGCTGTAACAGTTTGACAGTGAAACCTAGTCCCAGAAAAAAAAAGTATATATATACACACACACGTACATTTTTTATATATGTGTGAATATATATAACGTACATACATGTATATAAAACGGGTCCTTTCTCTCTCTTTGCTTCCTTTTCCATCCTTCTCCCACTCCAGGCTCTGAGCTGATGCCCAAAGCGCTGTCTACACGGATCATTGGTGGCATATGGTGGTTCTTCACCCTAATTATCATCTCGTCCTACACGGCCAACCTCGCCGCCTTCCTGACTGTGGAGAGGATGGAATCCCCCATCGACTCAGCAGATGACTTGGCAAAGCAGACAAAAATAGAGTACGGAGCAGTGAAGGATGGAGCTACTATGACCTTCTTCAAGGTGAGCTCAAGCACAGATTTTCTGCCATCCAGGCAGAGACACAACGTTCTCAAACCAATGGGAGCGAGAACAAAAAACCAAGACAAAAAGCCTGTAAAGCCACCACTGCTTCTCCTTCCAAGAAGGTTGCTTCCATCTTGCATCTTTGCTTAGACTTTGTCAGTTTAGCTTACCTAGATTCACATCACAACTAAACCCCCTTTCCCGGTTGTTAACAGAAGTTACGATTATTGAATTATGTTGATTTTGCAGTTTACTGTACTCAATATTGGATCAGGTACACTAAAACGTAGCATGTATTACGCATGACGGGACAGGTTTATCTTATATTAAAGCCCTACAGAAAAATTATACGTTCCCTAAGTAGGGACGCTCTCACATCTTACCCGCTGCCGTACCGACCCCAAGGAGCCCTTGGCTAACCCCACTGCCTTGCAGGGACATCACGATCCAAAGAGACGAGAACAAACAAAAACTGCAACTAAAACTGTACAGATGCCACTAAGCGCACTCCCCGACCAGTACTTTTTACAGCTAAAATACAAAAAAGGAAAAAAAAAGGTATTTGCATTAATGTAATCAAGGTTTATTAACCAGCACAATTCAAATGGGATGAAACAAAAAGCCCACAATGGATAATACTGATTAAAAAAACAAATAGCTCAAACTAGGTATTAGGTTTATTTTTGTACATGCTCATCTTCTCTCAGAGATGCTGAGAAAAGGCAAGGCTTGCACACAGAGAAAGATTTATTTTTTATTCTTTTTTCTTGGTTGTTTTTATTCGCTCTTTGGTCATTATCTGCCTACTTTGATATGGGGCTTGTCTAGCATTTGTTAGCATTGATAATTAAAATGAATGATCCTGTACTGGTACCAGGATTACAGCACAGCAGATACACGTAAATAGAATTACATCTCTTATAAACCAGAGATTAATTAGCATAAATAATTTGAGGGAAAAAGTTACTTATGTTCACATATAATGGGAAAAAAACTATCAGAGTAACTTGGAGTTAAAGAGATGCCAAAGAAACTTTCATTTGGAGTCGAAGAGACTGCGAGTAAGTAATTTCCACTTTTGTGCATGCGTTAAAGAAAGCATCGCTCCAGAGACACGTTCATTAGGGAAATAATGGAACAGCAGCATCTTCCACGCAACCAAGCGCCCGAGGAATTACCAGCCGTTGGGCTGCGTATCCTTTCAGGAAAAGGCGCCGGCACAGGCAGAGCAGCGGCCTGGGCAGACGCGGGCCCCCTGCCGCTTCCATCCGCTCTGCGTTCCAGTCGCTGGACCGCACCTCCAAAAGCCTGTGCAAGGTAACACCGCCAGCGCAGCCAAGTCAAATCACGTTATTGTCTTCTGTTTAAAGCATAATTAATTTCAGAAGCTGACCAACAGCGCAGAGGAGGGTGCAAAGAGGATTCGTATTTCATTATTGCCTCAAAAACGAAAAGAAACTGAGAGACTTTAAAGACCTTTGAAACTGCAGCTAAGCTATAAAAATACTTGTTAAAAAAAGGGAGAGAACGCAGGAATAGAAACGAAGGCGATTAATCTAAGGAATGATCATCTTGGCAAATATAAGGCTTGGGGGTTGGGGGCGCAGAGCCCGATCGCAGGCCCGGCTGCGGCGCACTCGAGGGACGGCTGCGGCGGTCTCCCCGCTGCCGCGCTTCCCTGCGCCCACCCAGCCGGGACACAGCAGGGACACGAGCTGTCCCCTCCCCTTAGCTCTTTGCCAGCAAAGCAGCAGGAGCACTGGCAAAACAGAACAGACAGTCGCACCCCAGAACACCGCTCCAATTTGCTCACTTTCTGCTTCGCACAAAACAGCCGCTGCTCCAGCCGTTCAGCCGAAGGAGGACGGGGCGTCCCCGCTGCCCCTCTGCTGAGCAGGACCGAGGCACGTTCCTTCCCTCCCATGTCATCCTAATTCAGAAGGAAATATGAGGGCCAACATATGACATGCAACCTGCTTTTTAAAGCATGAGCTCTCTAGAATACTGCAATAAGTTGAATAGTCGCAGTGTAATGGCAGCTAGGTTAGGCAGTCAGCAGTTTAATTGCCAAGACTTATTAAAGGGAGCCAATGTGCTGAATTTTAATAACAAGAAAGAATATAGCATTTTTCTGCAGATCTGTAACTCTTCTTGGGTATGACTTGGGTACGACTTAGGTATAGAGCCATTACGCTTTCCAACTCCCCATGCTTATTTTGACAGGCAGTAACACAGATTGGTAAGGAAACATGGAAGATTTTGTTTGGTTTGGTCTTTAATTAATCCTGGGAAATGTAAATATAGCATGGAATAGCAGGTTGCTACTGATTAGCTTGCTTTTTGCAATGGAGCTGGTGCATGCAATTTTGTCTTTGGCATGGGCAGATGCATCGCGTTACCTTCCAAAAGCAATATAAACCTAGAACAGCTATTAGGAGTGTTTTAACTACTCTTTTCAGTAAGAGTTTTATATGGAAATAAAATAAAACTCTGTCTTTTTTTTTAGATCATCAAGGACACAGTATCTTTACTGCTTCATATCATTCTTCATCAGAGCCGTTCTTCAGGCTTCTAACAGGCATTTGGCAGGGTTTATTTATGCAGTGTATTTTCCTTTTTCTTTTTTATTATTATTGTTGTTCAGAGATGAATTATCAGGGATGTCCCTTCTGACAAGCATTTCAATTACTGGAGCAGCAAGAGCGCTCATGGGGGATGCTATGTTCATTTGTCCTTCATGTAAAGGGAAATACAGGAGCACGTGTTTAATGATCAGGAGAATCTCCCCCCACCCCTCAGCCAGGCCTTCATCAAATGACAGGGTAAATGCTGCAGCACAGCTGCTCTGCCAGGGTCTTGTTCACGGGGACACCTGTCAAAGAGCACCAAGGTCCAGGGAACAGGATAATTCAAAGATCAAGCCGCCTGCGTGGGCACCTATCATGTCTGCTGAGAGCTGTGCTCCTTCCGCACGGGGCGAGGTTTTGGCACAGCGAAGGGCCCAGACTTCGTGTCACCTGCCTCTGCTCGGCTCACAGCAGACGTTCCTGGGAGACGCAAGCCTGACACAGGCTGCTGTGGCAGGGCTGCTCTTGAAACGCAGACCCCTACGCAGCAAAGTTCCTGGACAGCTGGCGGTCGAGCACGCCTGCAGTTTGCTATATCCTAATTAGGAGCCCCCCATACTGAACCTATTTCTTGGATTATCCACAATGATTTATCACAAGAAGAGCTACCTTGTCTCCCTCTCTGCTTCTCAAAGTAGTTGCTCATCAGGAGTGGTTGCATCAGGAGCTCACTCCTCCTTTCTCTGTGCTCAGCGTTAAAAATCCGGCCCGGCAGCATGGCACCGCGCACATCCTTATCCCACAGCCGGCTGGGGCTGACACTGAACTCCGCCGCTTGCGTTAAGACGTGACACCTCACGTGGGCCCAGAGCTCTTCGGGGCTCTGGGAATGGGTGACAAAGCATGATACAGGACCACAGGAGAGACCACTTCTCCCATGAGGAAAGCACAGTCCAGGAGCTGCCACTTCAGGAGCAGTGGGAAATGGGGTGAGGAGGAAGGCAAACCTCTCCTTGATTGTTCTCCAAGAAGATTCCCAAAACACTGAACGACGTTGCTGACTATTGTCAGGGGTTTGGATGGTTGAGGGCTTATACAGAGCTCACTGAAGTCACTGCAGAAGTTATCTATTGATTCAAGCCAGTTATATATCTCTGGATCAGACTCGGTACATGCGATCTTGTTCTCATAAAGGCTTTCTGCCTGGGAGGCTCACCTAGCTAGCTAGAGCAAATGGAAATCAGAAATGAGAGTTTTAGTAGCTGTATGGGCAGATTTTGACTCCTTGAAAGGAACATTTGAGAAGCTATTTATTCCCTGGGAATGCAGATTGGGCTACAGGAATAAATACAGATCAATTAATTTAGGAACAGTGTCTAGCTTCCATTATGGATCATGCCAAAAATCCTTCACATCTTGCAAAGGATGCTGCCTCTCTCTGAACAAATGCTGGGTTTAATGTACAGCTTAGAGTATGGGTGTGAGTGTGAGTGTGTACATATATATTCACTTGTACAGAAACGTTAAATCCTCAAGAGTAAGTATCTTCAGTTGGTGAAAATCAATTTATTTTTTCATACAGGCTGGAATTGAAAATCGCAAGCCTGCAAGTTACTTTCTTGCCAATTGCACTGATAAAAAAGCATATATGTCTTGGCAAGATGCCTTATATTGGCTCCTCTAAACTATTCCATTAATTTATTTGGGTGACTGGTCTTGAAACATTGATTATTAAAGGTAGCTTCTGCGCGCTGACTCTAAAGGATGAATTTAGAGGCATTCTCAGCGTTCACTGCCTTTGCTGCATTCGGAGGGGCTGTTGCTCATAGATGCATTTCCTTTCGAACTAAAGCAGGATTTCATTAAGATGCAGGAGCCAGTGGACCAGGCTCGGATGTTATCTGCCCTGACCAAAACGAGCAGCTCCACTTGCAGGAGGCAGAGGGAGAGGTGTAAGCAGAAGAGGGACACCATGCCGTGATGTGCTCTGGATGGATTAGCAGCATTAAACTACTGCCTTTATTTATTAGCAATAATCTCCATCATTCCAAATGCTCAGGAGTTGAAAACAGTCTGGGATTTCTCTGTCGGGAAGGAGTCAGCTTTGGGTGATTGTCTCTTAATGCATCTTAATGCTTCAGAGCAGCCGAGCAGTTTCTCCTCCTCTACCTTTTGCAGCAGAGTTAGGGTCTCTTTGAGGGGACCTGCAGATATGAACCTGGGGGAAATTCTGCCTCACCCCTTCCCTCACAGAGGATGCAGGGGGACAGGATGGCCTCTACTGGCCTTCATTTCTGTTTTTTTTTTTTATGCAGCCCGTAAGTAAAAGTAAAACGGTGATTCCATATAAAAAAATTGCACCCAACCCCTGCACAACAACATCAATTCAAACCAGCAATTAATCCCAGGAAAGATTTTTTTAAAGGTAAATTACTTAATATATAAAATCAGAGGGAATAAAGGTCCAGCAAAATAAACACAATTCTTTACTGACTGTTAATTTACTACCAACTAATCATTGTGCCTAACGAGAAGTTTTTGCTCATTTGATTTGCATGTTCTCAGGTGACATCATCCAGTTCCCCATAAATAAATGACCTTCTCCGAAGCACAGCTGAAGTACCCTCAGAGAAGGGAAGGGAGGATTAGATCCATGCGGCTGTAAAATTGCTGCCTTAGTCCGTCCGTCCTTCTTGGAAAGGTGAAAAAGGTGCAGTTACAGCAGTTAGTTCTCCAGAAGTGAACAACTTTTCCTCATAATAAGAGAAAAGGGCAGTGGTCGAGGCTGTCAGGATTTAGGTGCGAGTCGGAGCGCTGTACACTGTGCGCAGCGGTTGCGCCTGCGGTTTTGATTGATGACTGCTCTCACAGTGACTGACAATTGCTTTTAAATTGGACTTTTAACAAATAGCCAAATCTATCAAAGTGCTGGTGCTGCGCTGAGGATTACAGCTTGTGAATTTCCACTGGGAGAAGGAGCGCTGTTATCTCAGGTTAGCCAAGCTAAAGAAACTAACACGAAATAAATTCCCCGTGAGGAGGTGGTGGGTTTTAGACTCCTGAGAGAGCCAGGTATTGCCCTGACCAGAGAACTGGGTCGAACTGCCTTGCCTTCGCCATGGGCTTGACCTGTCCTTGCTAGTAAGAGCTAACAGACCCTTCTCTTATGGAGGATGAGGCCATTGCAACCAGCGGCATCTTGCTGCAGGGAGACACAAGGCCGTGACAAGCACGGGGCTGAAGACAGCAGAAGAGACCGCGCAGGTTGGCGATAACACATTTCTGCGATGCACGGCGTCTGCACGTTTGCACTCGGCCAAGCGCGCTCCAGCGAGAAAGGGCGCGTGCCACCGACACGCTGCCTGCTACAAGCCCTGCGCCCGCTCCCCTCCTCCCCAGGCCAGCCCCACAGATGGGACCACGAGCAGCGTTTGAAGCGCTGCAGCAAGAGCTGAGAAAGAATGGGCCCATCCTGGCATTTCAAACACAATTAGCTCCTTTCAGCTGGTCAAAAGGTGTGAGATTCAAGAAGAGAAAGTGGTTTTTTCTGTTCCAGGGAGCCCTGTCTCATGTAATTTAAGTTGCCTGAAGAGCTACCATGCCTCATGCAAGTCCTATTAGCTTCACTAAATGCAACCTATTGATTTTTTGCCAGTTTATTTTGCTCTATGCTTTAAAACTGGGAGAACGCTGATGTTGTTTAAGAGCTTTGTGTCAACACCCAAGGAGCATTAAGTGCAAGAAGAGAAGGAGTGAAAGAGAGAGCTAGTGAACTCAGAGGCCTCTGATGTGAACTGTATAAATGTTAAACAAGTCGTTATCAGCAGGTCTACTACGTTATTCATTTCAATTACCCATCGTAATGTACCGATATTTAATAATCCTTTTGGAGGCTACATTTCTTGCTGCTCTTCGAGGTTTGACAGATGCCACAAATCTACCTTACAGGCACTGGACCAGATTTTCAAGTGAGAGGGATTATGCTGTCTCTTGAATTAAGTTAGCTCCAGAACCTCCACCACAGCAAGTTCCTCAAGTGGATTAGAGCAAGCGTAAATTTTAACTGAGAAGAAATAAGTCCATGGATATTTGAGACAGGAGAATGAGCCAATTGGGTTAAAGACAGAGAAACAGCCTTTGTTACTGCACAATACTAATCAAATTTGGGATGTTAAGTTACACGACAACTGCCACAAAATCTGTTCAAATTTCACTGAACGTACAGAAAAAGGAGGAGGACAGGCGAGGCATCTGAAATATTAAATATTATGAGGGATTTTTCATTTTAACTATATCTTTTAATTATTTTACCATGCGTTACAGAGAGTTTTTAAGAAGAAAAACTTCTGCTGGCATCTTTTAGATGGCACTAAAATAATGAGGGGGAGATGTGATAAGAACACAAACATAAGAGGAAGATAAAAGACGACTAGAGAGTGCAGCTCTTCCTGCCGCTGCAGGTGAGCTGTTAGCCTTACTCTAGGCAAAGCACAAAGACTTATCAGCCCCTCCGACTTATCAGCCAGCTTCAGGCTTTTGCTAAGTAGCGTTGTGGGGGAGGATGTTTTGGCTGACTAAGCTAGCCTCTTACTAAATCAGAAGGAAAAAGGAGATCCAGGAAAAACAGGAATTTAGGCAGAAAAGAAGAATGGCACAGAAAGGCGCAGCACAAGCACAAGCCTCAACATCCAAGCGCTCTTCCAGCTGCAGCTGGATGGGGAGAGGAGAGATGCACCAGTTTTCCCCCTCAGGCCGAGTCTACGCTGGGTACAGCTCGGGTAAAGGCCCTGGGAGAGCCCCTGGCCCTGGGCCTTCCTACACCCCGTTCATACCCCTAAGCCAAGAGAAGTTTAGCTTACCCTCTTGGCACAGCTGTAAAGCAATCGTGGCATTACCAGGTTTGTTGGGTCTCCTTTTCCTTTAAAATTAAATAAGAAAGGAAACAAAAACGGCAGTAGTTCCTTCCTGCTTCCTTATGATGTCTATGTTGAGCAGGGATTTTCTTGAGGAACCAGTGTAGTGGCGGCATGATGAGATACGAAGCGCAGCACTGTTCATTTAGACCCTTTTGGGCACCACGCTATGTCACTGCAACAGCGTGCGACAGGCTCTACCAAAGACTTCAGCAAAACACCCGTTCATCCCACGGGTTAACGAGCGTATGCACTGACCATAAAGACAGGCAAATTTAGACAGTGACAGATAAATTTGCATCGTTTGGGAAGGAAACCAGCTACATCCCAACAGCACAGCCACAGAACTAAATCACAGAACGCACGGGCTGGCCTGGCCTTAAATCGCGGGTAACAGAGCCGAGCCACGGCGGCGTTTCACGCAGACCTCATCTGTCAGTCCCACAGCCAAAGTCCTACGTGTGCCTGGTCAATGAAATCCCTGTTATCACAGCTAGGTTGACATTGCTACCTAAACCACGTATTTTGATATGAGCTATGTGCACACACGGGAATACAGGGACCAAAGAAGCAGGTATTTTAAGAGAAAGCTAATGTGCCTCTTCCTGGGGAATCTTTAAATGCAGGATAAGTCTTTTATGACAACCTACATAAAGACAGTGCAGAAGGTGGTCATAGATAAATCAGTGGTATATTTAAAATATTGTGGAAAGATATAAAACAGCTGTATTTCATCCCACCCAACACATTTTCTAATAAAAAATGAAAATTTCTAATGAAAAATGAAAAAGCATTCATATTAATAGTAACCTAGAAAACATGTACCTCCTTTTCTGATAGACTGTCTGCTGATAGTAAAAGAATATACATGTTTATTTTTAGCTGTAACAAAATCTTCTTGAATATTTCTATGCCTCTGCTTATACGGATATGTTAAATTTGTTTGGCAGTTGCACATACCTCAGAGGAGACACGTTTCCTTGTGAGGCTTGGAGAATAGACAAAAATATAATAGAGTGTGTGCAAAGGAGAAAAACATGTCCTCTGAAATGTTCTCTGTCTTCTCTCATTGTGCAGAAACATCACAGGATAAACAAAATTCTGGTTAGGAAACTAATAAGTTTAAACAGATATATGATAGCCTGCCACACTAGCAAGTTCTGCAGGGCATCAAGGCAGGGTCTTGCTGTACCTTACTGACGCGAATATTTCCACTTAAAATATAAGGTCTCCAGAGCAGTGACTGTATTTTTGTTCAGTGTTTGCACAGCATGAACTCTGATGGAATCTTCTTCTCTTGTTATGGCAATTTGGTGCCAAACAAGGCTGGGCAGAAAAAGTAGATAGATCTAAGACATGGTCAAATTGATGGTCAAATTGGTTCATTGTACACGTGACCTGTTCTCAAACTGATATTTTTCATTTACTATAAAGATACCGGGTTTTGGGGGTGTTTATGGCAACAATTAGAAGATTAGTTCTCATTTTGGGTATGGGGGTTATTGTTTTTCCAGAAATCCAAGATTTCTACCTTTGAAAAAATGTGGGCTTTCATGAGCAGCAAACCCACAGCACTCGTTAAAAATAATGAGGAAGGGATCCAGCGAACCCTCACAGCTGATTACGCCCTGCTGATGGAGTCGACCACTATCGAATACATCACGCAGAGGAACTGCAACCTGACTCAGATCGGAGGGCTAATTGATACCAAAGGCTACGGCATTGGCACTCCCATGGGTAAGTGACAACGGTGGGGTTTCTATAGGTAGCCCAGGAGGGGAGCTAGTTACCATAAATACAGCAGATGGGATTGAGATAACCCACTCCCAACAGATATTGGGATATTTCTGAATAACAAAGCTTACCCTATCAGCCTGTTGAAGAGAGGTCTGAACAACCCTGCTTAACACAGGCACGTTCCCTGCTTTATGTGATTTTTGTTCTACTTTGCCCTCCCTGTGTAATGGCTTTCCCTCTCCCCAGGGTCACCGTACAGGGACAAGATCACCATTGCCATCCTCCAGCTCCAGGAGGAGGACAAGCTCCACGTGATGAAGGAGAAGTGGTGGCGTGGGAACGGCTGCCCTGAGGATGAGAACAAGGAGGCCAGCGCTCTCGGCATTCAAAACATCGGGGGGATTTTTATCGTTTTGGCCGCAGGCTTGGTGCTCTCAGTCTTTGTGGCAATGGTGGAGTTCATCTACAAGCTGCGCAAAACGGCGGAGCGTGAGCAGGTATCAACTGCCTCAGTTTCCCCGCACCACCACCAGGCAGGGATTTCTGCAGCTCCCCCAGATATTGGGAATTTTGCACCCTGGGCCTAGAGGCAGGCAGGGAGATGTTCAGAGGGATTCAGCACTGACCGTGCCAGCTGCGGGCCGGGTGGGCACCGAGCCGGGAGGTACGCTCTGGCAAAGCGCCCGCAGCTCACGTAAAGGCCGACACGCAGCACCACAGAAATGCCCTTCACTAAGGCTCATTGCTTCCTTCCTGCTCCGATGGCCGGGGCAGGAGCAAATTGTATCTAGTCTAATCCAGGGTGACCTGTTCCCACAGTAGCTAGACTAAAAAAGCACAAGTAAACATTTGTAAGGGTAATTCTGAACAGCCTACACATACTCAAGTCAAGAAAACAGGGACAAAAAACTGCGTGGGAAGCCAGGATCGGACAGGACCTTTCTGAGTTGTTACATCCAGGTGCCACTGTGACCGGCAAGCGTGCTGCATATTCTATGCATAAGTGTATAAACAAATGTCTAGAAGTATGAAGTCTCTATCTTATGTCCCCCACTCCCATTAGAAGACTGTTCTAGATCCTCAAGGAACTAGTCAGGAAGCCTCATGTTATTTTATCAACTTTTCAACACTTCTCGTAACACCATTACGCAAATGGCCCATCCCACCTTAAGTGGCTATTAGTGCTCATGAAATAAGATGACCGCTTTTGTGTTTATTCCCTCTTCCTTGTGTGTCACAATACAGTAACTGGAAAGTACATTGACTTGCATGCCCAGAAATCAAAGCTGACCATGTGATGGACTAGGTAAATTGCCCACTAGCAACCCAGCATGATTCAATAGCCCTCTGATTCTCAGCACATAAATTTACCAGCATCCTGCCCAGCAAGGAGCACACAGAGCACTGACCTTCTGACAGAGTCACCTGCAGTTCTTCTTTTTTGTAAGATTTAATGTCAAAGGTACAATTCTTGCTAATGGGGAGAGGGTCAACCGGAGGCTTGTGCATCGCTGGAGTCCAACCAAGCACAACTGATGCCTCAAATGCAGCCTAAACCTAGCGCTTGTCCTCCGCAAAGAATCTAGTGTCACCATTCTGCTCATGGAGAGCTTGTTAACAAATATTTTGCTAAGAGTAACTGCTCTGTCCCTGCTTCTCCCCAGCGCTCCTTCTGCAGTGCCATGGCTGACGAGATCCGCCTGTCGCTCACCTGCCAGCGACGGGTCAAGCACAAGCCTCAGCCACCCGTCATGGTGAAGACGGATGCAGTGATCAATATGCACACGTTCAATGACCGACGACTGCCTGGGAAGGACAACATGACTTGCAACACTGGATTGACACCTGTGTTCCCATAGGGAGTCGGACCTGGGGGGTGGGTGGGAAGGAATTGCTGCAGACTAGGCTGGTTGCACTCTTAACTAGGGAAGAAAGGATTAAAAATAGAAAAAAAGAAAAAGAAAAAATAGAAAAAAAGGCTAGTTTGGTTCATTTCAAGAATAAGGCCTTTAAAACACAGCTGCATTGGTCACTGGCATAGAAGCAAGAACTTCAAAGCATGGACTGTAACCTGGGTCTTGGGGCTTTTGTTTTATTTTTGTTATTTTTCTTTTCTTTTCTTTTTTTTTTAAAGCTTAGATCCTACAAGCCTCATGGAGTCCAAACATACTATCATCCACAAGTCTGATGTTTACATGCTGAAAACACATGGAGGCAAGACAGAATCGAGTCAAACTGCCCCTCAGTGGGTAAGGAGGAGGCCACAGAGCAAGGCTTCTTCAGCATGGCAATAAACACTTTCTCCATACAGGTGTGGAGTTAGCAACAGTCTGTGAGCATCTGTTCCCAGCTGACATACACAGCACATTTACGATACGTTGTCTGGGAAGGGGAAAAATATCTATGAAATACTATCATCAAAGCTGTGCCTTCTCTCGAGCAGCTCACTGTGGCCTTTTACCTCATGGCTGTGCTGGCTTTTGGTCATCCACAGCAGGAAGTCCACGTGGGCGCGTGGTGGGAGAAGGCCAGTGCGTGTTCACAGATATATCTAAGACAGCTAACTGTGAAGGGGCGAGTAAGCTTGAACACAGTCAAACTCTCCGCCACCAGGAACGGGACAGCATGGTGCATGGGAACTACTGCCATCTCTGAGCAAAACCACCCAAATGCCCTGCCCCAAACGCCAGCCCCTGCCCCTGGTGACACCATGGTCTTCAGTTTTTGAGCTCCTTCACTGTCTCTGCAAAGGCCATCTCTTCCACCAAGAGCTGCGTAAAGGAGCCAAGCCCACCGGCTGCAGCAGCATTGAGAGAGTTGTTTCCAAGAGCTGAATGCTACTAATTTCCAAGAAATTCAGCAGTGCTGACCGGCAGCTCTGCTGCTTTCACACTCGGATCAGGAGAGGACTGTGTGCTTGGTTTAGGAACAAACGTTCCTTACGGCATCGGAGATTCGAAAGGGAAAGTCTCAACTGCAGGGCCGGGGCCGGCCTCGGGACAAACAGCACTGTGTGAGCCAAACCCGACACCCTTATTGCTCTGCCCGCTGAATCCACAGCCCTTCCCACAGCATCCCCATGGTGATTTCAGTGAACACACGCTAAAAAGTTTTTAAGAAATCTTCCATGAACTGTGTTCTTATTTTCAGGTTGCTTAACCCAGAAGGCTGGTCCTGCAGATGAATTTAGTCAGAACTACCAAAGACCCCTCTGCTGACCTAGAAGTAATCCTCGACTAACGTCGTTCACTTCCATCCCTTCACAGGAAAAGCACCTGGGTGGCCAGCGGGAGGGACACTCTGCTGATGAATTTCTTCCTGCCCGTTTGCAAAACGAAACAAAGGGCAATAGTTCTGCCTATTGTACCCTGGAATATCATGAGGACGATACTGTAAAGGCACTTAAAAGTTCGGATTTAAATACTGGCATTGAGAAAACAGCACTCTCCTTCCTTCGCAAACTCAAGGGTGAGGGAGGTGCCCCAGGCTGCAGCTCCTGCCCTGCGGCGAGGCCGGCAGCCGAGCCCAGGCTGCGCATCGGGCAACGTCGCCCCGCGCTGTGCTTTTAGCCGGGTCCACGGTTACCGCAGCGATCAGCAGCTTAGCTGACCTAATTTGCCCTCCCCTAACTGCAAGGCCTTTCTGAAAAGTTTGCCTTTGCCCAAAGGGACAAACCTGTTCATAGCTGATTTAAGATTTTCTTTCCCCACCTGTTTCTTTCTCAGAAGTAGCAAATTAGCTCAAGGGGAGATAGCTTCCATCAGGGAACATAATTTGTCCTTATTTTGTTTTTCCATAATGACAAGAAGCAACATAGCGATCTGAAATATAAAGGTAGATTTGTTGTATCTTAACTCTAGTAAAGATATGCAAGGAATTGATGCTTATTTTCACCTTTTTTTTAATATATATATAAACCATGAAAAACTAGAGGTGAAAGCAGCCAATTCAATGGGCATCATATTCCTAATAGTTTGCTGACAAAAAATGAAGCTCACTTGTATCCTTCCAACTTTCAAACAGGTTTTAAGCAGGACATACACAGGGCACAGTCTTTTTACAGATTCCTGACATGTGAAAAGAGAAGTTCAGCCTGAATGTTAAACTCACAATACTAACCACTAGCCTGCAAAAATCAAAAGTTTCTAACTGTGACAAAGTAGGATTTTTTCCTTTCTGTCACTTCCCCTGCTCCCCAACAACTCTCCCCCGCGTGTGTCTGTTCCCACCATCTCTGGAGTTGAGTTCAGAGCCCTTTTATCCATGCCCAGAGAAATGGCTCAATTCAAATCCTGGGCTTGCTCCGAAGACTGCAATCCACCAGCGCCCTCACCCACGCCACGAAACCACTTCAGTGGAATAAAATCCCAACAGCAGAGTACGGATTGGAAAAAATGGGTCCGTTCGCTAAAGCTAACGACTTGCTTTCTGTACCTCTTTGCGAATCCTTAGACTTGCTGGAGTAGTAGATTTTATGTTTTCTTTACACATTTCTAAGCTCTTAAAAATAGATTTTTACAATCAAGGCAAAGATAAAAACAAAACCTGAAACTGGCTTTAAACGTTCTGGGACTAAAATACCGTGGAAAATTGCAACCATTTTGCTTCTTGGCAGATTTTTCTTTTTTTAATATAAATATTACTAACAGCATAAACACTATTTATTCAGCTTTGATGACAGTTGGATTTGGTTTGACTCACATGTCCCAGCTTGACAGGTGAGCATCTGGAATTCCCAGTGCTACCAGCCAGCAAGAAAAAACCCTGCAGATTAACCTTTTCCCTTCTCTCTCTCTACACTGACAGTCAATCAGCCATGAAATATTAGACAACTTCATGCATCTACATTATGGTTTTATATTTAAGATCCTGATATTAAAATGTTTAACACGTTTAACCACAAGGTAATGTTCTGCACAGCTGAAAACAATGTCCCACAAGGTAGGAGAGCTGTCCAGATGGGGACCCAAACGTGCTTTGGCTGCTGCTCTTTCTTCCCCATTAGCTCCTGCTCAGCCTGAGCTAAGGGGAGGCGAGAGGGTCTCTCACCTCTGCCATCCTGGTGCAAATCAGAGGCAGCTCCACCCAGAACAAGTTTTAATGTACTCTATTACTACATTGCCTGACAGACCGGAGTCTCTCCTGTTATTCCCACTAACCCATGAGCTTCTCACGTTCACACGGGGGAGCGAAGCAGCTAGGCCACGCCGTACCCGCTGCAGGGGGAGCAAGGAACCGGCGCTCAGCAGCGATGCGCGGGGAGGCTTTGGAAGGGGCAAAGCCTCGAAGCCTTCGGGCAAGCTATTTTGTGAGCTGTTGATGACTCTTAACAACTCATGTCTTAGAAATTATATGACGTCCAACTTTGCTAAAATCACTTTCATTCTTTGCTTGGTGGGCAGAGGGAGCAAGGAGAAAGAAAAAAAAAAAACAGCACCTTTTGGCTATTAAACTGCACCTAAACTGTTGCCATTTCAGTTCACTGTTCCTTTCTTTCATATCACTTGCTTTTTCCTTCCAGGTCTCCTGTGAGACAGAGCAGGGACACAATGGATAGGTTTGTCTGGGTTTGCTTTTCCTTCTAAAAATAACCAATAGTAAGCGTTGGGTAAGATGTCGAGACTACGAATTCACAGAGAAACCGAATATGCAAAGGGGAAAAAGCTCCAACTCGTGGCAACTAACTCCAGGGCAGGGAACCAAGTTCAAGCCCTCGGCGAGCGTTTCTGTGGACCGGGATCCAGGCGGGCGCAGATCCCCCCAGCCGCTGACTCGCAGCGCCGGTCGCGGTTATCCAGCACTCGCAAACTCGAGCCATGTGCAGCCAAACTGTGACAAGAGACCAAGTCCAAACAGCCAGCAACCGCCTAGTCCTACCGCACAGCCCTTGCGCGGGAGAGCTGCGAGTGGACTGCTCCGGCCGGCCTGGGCAGGGGGCACCTCTGGGCATTGATGCTGGAAGCCCTTTGCTGTCTATACCTTTCTTTGACATGTTTCTCAAAAAAAGATAAAAGAGAAAAAAACAAAAAAGAACGGGAAAAAAAGGAAAAAAAACTGGTCTCTGTGACATTCAGGGGATTTTCCTTTGTGGACATGCAGAATTTCTATGAATATAGTTTTTTGTAAACATTTTGTAACAATTTTGGTTTCATAGTAACTGTGTTACTTGCTGATCATTCTAGGCTGATGTAAATAAAATTTCCAAAAAAGAAAAAAATTCTGATTATTTTCCTTTTTAAGACACTGTGATATATCAAAGTGCACAGTTTGCTGTATGAAGTAATATGGTTTTAAATTTTAAATAAAATAATTTCTAGAAAAAAAAGTTTGTGCCTGTTTATACTCAACGACTCCCTTTTCCCTTGTTGAAACTTTATTCCTGAAAACAAGCTGTTTAATGATACCTCCATCTCTCTTGATAATCAGCCACACAAAAACAAGGACAAAACAATTCACAGTTAACACCAAACCCCTCAAAAGAAGAGCTGCTAGAGCTGCCTGCTGGAGCAGCAGGAGAAATCAAGTCCCTTATTCTGCTCATCGGAAGGACCAGGGGGTTTGTGCCTTTTTGGGGGTGATGATGGACTCGACCAGAATCAGGGAGATGAGCAGAAATATCCCCGTTCGCTTCACCCTCAGTGAGAGGGGGCACGAACACAGGATGAGGCTCAGACTACCTCTCCCTGTCCTCCACATATGGTCCTCCATACCTAGGGAAAGTTTTGTGTCAGGCAAATAATTAAGTCCAGATATTCCACGAAGAGCCATCTGCAGAAACGCTCTCCCAGCACGACCTAGCCTGAGGCTGCGCGTGTGCTTTTCATTACGGAAAGGTGCCCGAGACAGAGACCCTCCAACAAGATTGCAGGTTCCCACGGGGCTTCAAGGCTCAAAAAACCTCTGTTTACCTCTTATTCCTTTTTGATGCAAGTCAAAAATCTTACTAGCTTGACAAAGGCTGAAAGGACTCTAAGCGTTGATTTTTATTAGTTTGAAATCTTCATTATATTGAGGCTGGGAGAAAATTTCTGCAGTTTCCAGGAGGGGAAACTGTGCGATCGAGTCAAATTGTGCCGTTTCAGGAGAACAGGGCCTGAGCAACTCTGAAACGACGTCATAGAGAGTCGAGGCGATAAGATAAGCTCATGCAGTCCTTGGTGCCCCTGTGGCACCGGGAGGCTCCGCTCCCCATCACACCCCTTGCATTTGCACTACGGGACAGGTACTGCCCTGCCAGCTTTGCAAACAAAAAAAACAAGCTAGAGAAAAGGGCTTATCCTCTCCCTTTCGCAGGTAGGGAAACCAGAGTGCAGCAGTATAGATAAGACAGTAGAGGCAGTGTGTGACAATCAGGAGAAACACCCACATGTGAGAGGTTCACTCTACCTCCACAAACACCAGGCTGTAGAACCCAGTCTCGGCCTGAAGTTCAGTGTGGGAAGTCAGTGACCAAACCTGAAGATTTAGAAGTTTCCTGTTGGGGACGTTTCTCTGAGAAGGATCAAAGAGTGAGTACAGAGAACACTGGAGTGACTTCAGATCCTGAATTCAACTTCCAAGAGCTAAGGAACATTTGAGGAACACATTCAAAATATTCTAGCAATAAATTCAGAAGGCCTCGTGAGTACCTTTAACATATGAAGACAATTCATAACCATGGAAGTAGGAATCAGGCTTCTAAAGACATAGGCACAGGTACTGGTGGGACTTAGGGGTCTCAAATCTGAAACATTTGGAAATGTGTTTTGGATGCAAGTATGCATTTTATGCAGTGTAATTATGCATTTTTTAAATAATCCCTAAAAGTTGCCATTTACTACACGCTAAGACTTAAAAGACAATTCCTTTCCATTTTAATTATTTTTAAGGGTCACCTTCACGCCTTTTTCTCATTTCTATTCACCCAGGCCCCTTGGAAAACAGCAGCCCTGACATTCCCATTCCTCCCGGGGAGAGACTTTCAGAGGACAGCGGAGTTTCACTTTCATATTCTGAACTCTGATCAATATGCAGAGAATATGTCAAAAGGAAAAGGGAGGGGAAAGGTAGAAGCAACTGATGCCTTTGCAAAGCTTCTTCTACATTGCTTAGCATGTAAGACCTGCTTGTGGGAATGAAATCCGTTCTTACGTGCCATGTGTTGCATCAAGGAATCGGCTGTTTCTGTCTAACAAGAAAAGCACAGGGCAGGGCAATGCTTTCTGATCCAGCACTGCAAGCCTATGCCTGCTCTAGAAATATGAGGAATTGTCAACATAAATCATTATCACCAATAACCCGAGACAGCAATTAACCTTGTCATTCAACAGATCACCTTTCACTGACTGTGAACCCACCGCCTCAAAGCTGCCAATCATGCTACACATGAATAATTGATCAGACAGCAGATTTCACTCATAAAGAAAAGAAGATCCATTCCCTTTGAGTGTCAATTAGTCCCTCCGGGCAAAAGAGGGAGAAAACAAAAGGATGGTAGGAGATGCATCTTGCTCTAACCTCTTCACTATCCGTTTTATCCAGGCACCTTTAGACATTTTAGATTTGCGAGTCATGAGTCAATTTTTAACCTACAGTTATTTCAGCAAAACCCCCTTCTAAAGTGGTAAGTGTTCAGGTACATCTGCAAGCAGGTGATTTCCCATCTCGGATCACAGAGCTCTGAATCGCCTCTGCGGCAGCCCGCTTCGCGACAACAGTGAAACAACAGTTGACTTCTCAAAACCCGACTCCTCTGTCACTCTCCTGCTTTCTGCCCAGCCAGTACGAAGAGCAACTCTTTCGTACCTCCCTCAATCTAAACCGAACAAAAACTTCTGCCCTCATGAAGGACTCGGTCAAGTTTGGACTTAGATTTTTGCCACGAGCAAAACAGATCTGATTTTGTTAACAACAATTTGGGGATGGGAGAGAGATAATGAAGGCAGTTTATTTAAGAAGAGTATATTGCAAAGGAAAATCCAGTTTCTTACCTATAATGCGCTAAGTCGTGGGTTCAACAAACCAAAGAGACAGAATAATTGGGTATACATCATTGACAGATAGGCCCATAACAACCATGGAAAGAGGGAGCTAGAACTATGTATA